TTCGCTACACGAAACTGCGTATGAAGACTGTCTTATCATGCTCAGGCATGCTACAAGACAATTATTCTGATTCGGAAAAGTGAGCTATAAATGGAATCAATGTTCCAAGTAATAACATGGATGTGGACTTGAAACTAAAATCAAATGTTTAATTGACTGCTTAAGTATAGAATATCCGAGCCCTAATAGGAAAAACACCGGTACAACAGAATAGGCTTTATTGACCAATCAGAATCCAGAGCCACGCCGGCCACGCCGCTGATTATATACTACACCTCAGTCGTGTCCTTCTCTGGTTGGTTGCTTATCTTTCTCGCTTGCCATTGGAACGCAGTGTAACAGGATTGGCTGAGGCCAGGTAGTTTCATATGTCTGCGCCCTGATCCGTCGTCACACTGCCTCCCCCTCAGCAATGAAGCTGTCCTCAGCTTCTGGCTTGGTTCCTTGCACTGTTGTTGATGTACAGTGTTGGTAAAATATCCAGTTCGACACTCCCCGCATCCCACATCTTGCAGGATAGTGACCAAAGCGAATAGTTGACGAGGGACTTTGCTCTTGTAGCTTGCGGGAAGGACTCATAATCCATTGAAGGTCCTTCGTAGTTGCAGTCCAGCTGGCTTTCACTGTCCAATTCGTCGTCGCTGAGTTGCCAATGCCTCTTCAGATCCAGTAGTCCTAATCCCGAGCAGTGTCTATGGACCCAGTGTATTGGACATCGGATGTCCGCCAGGACATCTCCAGCTGGCATTTAAAGGTCTTTGCCTCTGTTGACCATTTTCGGGAAAGGGCTGGGGCTCGATTTGCGTTATTCGAAGGCATCCACTGCCACCAATGCAGATTACCCGAGCCCTATTAAAAAAAACTGGTACAGCAGAACAGGATTTATTGACCAATCAGAAGCCAGAGCCACACGTCAGGCGCCTTCCATCCGAGTCCACCACGCTGGCCACGCCGCTCATTATATACTGCTCCTCAGTCGTGTCTTTCTCTGGTTGGCTGCTTATCTTCCTCGCATGCCATTGGTACGCAGAGAGACACGGGATTGGCTACGGTTAGGTGGTCCAGCATGTCTGCTCCCTGATCCGACGCCACATTAAACTGCCTCGACTTCAGGAGTGAAGCTGTCTTTAGCTTCTCGTCTACTACTACTGCCGCTACTTCAACAGTGTGGTCCACTGGGGGTGGTTCACTGTAACCTAGGGCTCCTTATCAGTCTCCTCCATTGACTGAACATAGGGTTTTAGCTTGTTAAAATGAATAGTGAACCCTTGACCGGGACTAGCGTCCAGGCCGCAAATTCCACATGTCGTTTCACTGAGGACCGTGTCTACCATATATAGTCCTTCCCACGAACGTCGAAGCTTCCGGCCTTCGCTCACTACATTCGGGGTAGCCATCCACACTAGGTCACCTTCCTCGGCAGGGGTACCGTGGGCCCACTTATCATAGTAGTCTTTCTGGCTCTTGTGAGCGAGAGCCAACTGTAACCTGGCCGAGTCAAAAGACCGATGAAGTTGGCGTCGTACCTCAGCAACGTACTCTGAAGTTCTTACGTACTCCGGCTCTCGAGGTGGGGGCGCCACAACATCGGCTGGTAGCCGCAACTCATGTCCGAATGTCATTACTGCTGGCGTTAGACCCGTGGAGGAGTGGACAGCAGACCTATATGCTAGTAGGCATGCCGGCAAGGCGTCTTCCCATTGATTTAACGCATATTCATCGAGTTGCAGCCTTATGAGCATCTTGAGCGTACTGTTGGTTCGTTCGACTTGTCCATTCCCTTGGGGGTGAATCGCCGTAGTACGGCTTCTGCAAATGCCTAACAAGTCGCACAACTCCAAAAGCAACATGCTTTCAAATTGGCTGCCTCTATCTGTGTGAATTTGGTAGGGGACTCCGTGGTCAGCAACCCATCCTGCCATGAATCCTTTTGCTACAGACAGAGCGTCTGCCCTATGAAGAGGTACAGCGTTTGCCCATTTCGTAAAATAGTCAACCATAACCAAAATGTAACGGTTACCACTAGCTGTCTGAGGTAGGGGGCCCATAAGGTCTAAACCAACGAGTCTATTTGGGAACCCCGTTGTCATGGGTTGCAGCGGTGCTCTGGCCACGTGAGGTGAAGACTTGACCTCACCACATCGGTGACAACACGCGCAAATATCATTTGTATCGTCGTGCATGGCCGGCCACCAATATCGCCTACGGGCAGCTTGCTCAACTTTTGCTGGTCTCAGTTGGCCCAAACTAACATGTAGCTCGATCACGATTTGCTCCACGGTGGACCTTGGTACTACCACTCGCAAAGGGTACGATGGTCCAACCTTATAGTATAGGACACCATCCCTAAAACTAAGATTATTCCAAGCAGACCAAAGCACTCGCGCTTCTTGGCTGCATCCTGCCATCTCTTTGTCTGTAGGCTTGGGAGAGCCCGTGCGCTGCCTATCGTATATGAGGCCTATGTAGGGATCTTCCGATAGAGCTGCATCCCAATTCTCAACCGTAGTTTGTTCCATGGAGATGGTGGCTAAGTCTGCAGTATGTTCTGGAATCCTAGACAAGGCATCCGCGTTGTCATGCTTTTTTTCCAGGGCGATACTCAACCTTAAAGTTGAATTGGCGTAGCACCTCAGCCATCTAGCAATAATGCCCGAAGGTTCCTTGAAGTTATGCAACCACCTGAGAGCTTGATGGTCCGTACGTACCACGATCTCATTTCCCAAAAGGTAGTGCTTATAGTACTATAAGAAGAACTTTAAGGCAAGCATTTCGCGTTTAGTAGTGCAGTAATTGCCCTCAGCCTTTGACAAGGCTCGGCTGCCAAATGCGATAGGGTGTTCTAAGCCATTGGATTGAACCTGTGAAAGTACCGCCCCGAATGCTTTGTCTGAAACGTCCGCATCTAAAATGAATGGAGGGCGATCCTTTCCCACATTGGGAAAGGCCAGTACTGGAGCCGTGACCAGACAAGCTTTGAGGTCGTAGAAGGCCTGTTGACACTGATCCGTCCATGCCCAGGATCTTCCCTTCCTCCGGAAGTTTATGAAGTGGCGAGGCGATATGGGCGAACCCTTTGACAAACCTACGGTAATACGTTGCCAATCCTGGAAAACTCCGTAGTTGTTCTACGTTGGTTGGTGCCGGCCATGTTCTAATTTTATCCGTTTTATCCGGATCTGTTCTGATGCCTTCCTTGGAGACAACGTGGCCCAAACACTTAACCGACTCCCTGAAGAGAGTGCATTTCTCTGAGTTGAGTTTAAGTCCCGCCCCACGATGACGCTCAAACACATTACGTAACCTGCTAATGTGCTGCTTGATGTCTTTTGCGTGGACAATCACATCGTCCATATAAACCAAGCACTCCTGCTGTACTAGGCCTCGTAAGACTGTGTTCATAAGTCGTTGAAACGTTGCGGAGGCATTGGCTAAGCTGAAGGGCATAGTCTCGAATTCATGCAACACGCCGTCTTCTCCCGATGGATTGGGCAAATCTCGAGTTGCCAGTAGCCCGACTTAGGATCCAAAGTAGAGAACGACGTTGCTCTTCCGAAGGTATCTAGCGTGACATCCATCCGTGGGATGGGAAAGCTATCTTTCACGGTGACCTCATTTAGTTTTCGATAGTCGACACACAACCTAATGGTACCGTCCTTCTTTTTGACGACAACTACGGGCGATGCCCATGGAGATGACGACGGTTTAATGATTTTCTTCTGTAACATATCTGCAATGGCTTTCTCAACTGCCCGCTGATACGCCACAGGTAAATGCGTGCCTCCGTCGTGTGAATGTCATGGAGCGTAACATTCGTTCGACCGGTGTCTTCTACATCCCACGCAAATACGTCTGCATATTCTTGGACCAGCTTGGATCGAGGTCGAGCCCCTCACTTTGTGCTTGTGTGCTCACCAGTAGGTCTAGCTCCTCTAGGGTTGGATGTGTCTGAGTTGTAATGGCAGATATGGCACTATTACTCTGCACATAAACTGCCGGTACCTCAGGAGACCCAAGGCGTAAACACCGCTGTGGTCGGCTATATTCGCCCGCGTACCTGTCGAGGAAGTCTGACCCCAATATACCGTCGTATGGCATATCCTGGCATAGATATAAAGCATGCTGGTACACACTGCCGGTAATCGTGAGTGGGATATCAACACAGCCATTACTACGCAAAACAGTACCGTTCGCCGCCTTAACATTAATTCATGACGCCACCAGGTATAGCTCGAACGTCTTCTGCGGGAACCGTTTTGGATTGACTAATGAGCATCCAGCCCCCGTATCAACTAGGAAATGCATTAACCTATTGCATACACCTATAGATATAAAGAGACGGGTGTTAGCACATGACCCATTAATAGCAGGGCATGGAACTGACGCAACTGGAGGCCTCGTGAAACCTTCTCCGCCACGAGGTTTCCCCGTCCATTGTCCGCCAGATCCTCTGAATCGCGGCCCTTGGAATTTGTTTGTCCTTGGACGCCACTGTTGGGTTGGACATGGCTGATCTGAGGCGGGGGGCGGAGCGTTAATCCCCAGGTCGGGATCCGCCGAGTGAACCCTCTCCAACTCTGTTATTGACTGAGGCAGAAGTCTTGCGTGCCGCTTGCCGATCTCAGCTGGTAGTCCATTGAGAACGAAGGCTTTCGTTAGGCTCTCAAGTAAGGCACCTGGGTAGCTCTTTTGGACCAGATCCTATACGTCAGCAATGTAGTCGACTACCCGTTCCACGGCCCTGCAGCATCGACTCATGAGTTTCAGCTGACACTCTTCACCCTTCTCCCCGAACAACTGGGACAATTTATCCGGTAGTTGTTCATAACGTGCATCTCCAGAGCAGCCTGTCATAGAGGCAATACGACTAGCCGTAGCGGCCAGGCCTCTCATGAGCTTGCGCGATCTACAATCAGGCTCTTCATACCTTAAGTAATCATCCATTGTCACGATCAATTCCTCAATGTCGTCATCGAGATAAAACACGGGCGGTCAAGGCCGAAAAATTCCTCGCTCCCATCCAGCGTGGCCACTGAATAGGTCCGTGTCCGTCTTCGAGATGGTCTCGCTGCCACCAATGTAGAAAACCCGAGACCTAATAGGAATAAGAAAGGTACAACAGAACAGGTTTTATTGACCAATCAGAAGCCAGAGCCACACGTCAGGCGCCTTCCATCCGAGTCCACCACGCTGGCCACGCCGCTCATTATATACTCCTCGTCAGTCGTGTCTTTCTCTGGGGGGCTGCCTATATTCCTCGCATGCCATTGGGGCGCAGAGAGACACAGGATTAGCCGCGGCCAGGTGGACCAATATGTCTGCGCCCCAACCCGTCTTTGTGCATTTTTTCAGTCATTTTTGTCTAGAACTTCCCTACCTCTAGTAAAGATTTATTTTATTTCCGAAATCACCAGTAACTCAAATGACTCTCAGTATCTTTTTTTCACGAACCCTAATCACGATTGCCTTATTCCTCTTATCAAATCTTGCTACAGTCGTGAAATTACGAACTTGTAGAAATTTAGCTTATTAACGTAGTATTCTCAAGCATTTTAATTTGATGCTTTTTATAGTTTCGTATGTTAGAGCTTTCCACTAACGAAGCAATTACTATTCTTGCGTCTGTCGTTTTTAGACGCATAAAGCAGCTTTTTTGTTAATCAAACACTGCTCATGTTTTTTAGTTTAGCTAAAGTTTGTTAACATTCCATAACTTGCATTTTTGGCAAGCTGTAGCTTTGTGTGCACCAAAAAAACAAAAGCAAAATACGTCATGCCCTCCCAG